GCAAAACTTGTGCAGAGTGTTATTGGCGTGAATGACTATTTTATTATATAAATATTTAATATCATTTTTATTTTGGTCATTTATTTATTTTAGATCATTTGAAGGCTTTTTTTAGTTTTTATTGTGATAGGAGTGTAGAGAAACAACAGGAAGCTGGAAATAAGATCAGATGAGGACAAACCCAGCCTTGTGCCCTCAGAGAGCTAAAGTGGCACCCCAATTTTCCATTTATTTCTCATGTTGGAGCTGCTCATCTGAACTCTGATACATACAAACTTAATAATTTAAAAAAAAAAAAAGGGTGACTGAGATCGGAAATCGTTTCATAATGAAGGACGTGTGATAATCTATTAGGTTATAGAAAAAAATCCTGTAGGTAGAAAAAGAATAGAAATAGGAAGAAGACTTACTTGCGTACAATGTCCTTGGCCATCTCAGAGATCTGGCTCCACTCGTCTTCGGGAAAGTCAAAGCTGCCGGTCATAATCTTCTTCCTCATGTCCTTTGGGATGGTGCGACTGTGATGCTTGGAGTAGAACGGAGGGTAGCCACACAGCATTACGTAGATAATCACACCGAGAGACCACAAGTCACAGCTCTGTAGACAGAAAAGAAACCTTTTAAAAAATAATTCACCAGTGAACCAGGCCTGATGCACCTACAGCAGGAATCCCAGATATGAGTCTTGCCTTGTTATAGGTGTAAGGAGTGGGTGAGGTAGGTATAATTCCAGACTTTTCCTTCTGGTGCCTTCTTTGAGCCTCAAGTACCTGTACAGAAAACAGGGCCAGAATACATCATTAAGATATGATGCATTCAGTCGTTACTGATGTGTCAGCCGTCAGTGAAATGAGAAAGCAAGTGCATCTTTTTTTTAACCTGAGGTGCTACGTAGTAAGGAGTAAACTGAGGGGTCATCAAGTCTCCTTGGTCGATTTTGGCAAAGCCAAAGTCACACAGCTTCACAGGTGCATCCTGCAGAACAGACAGAATCACCGAATGAGAGATACAAATATGTTTTGAGCATAAAAACTTTTTATTAGCAACTTCATGTAAGATATTTTCTCTGGGGCTTCACAGAGTTTCACTTGATGGGATTTCTTAGCTGGAACACCTTTGGGACATTACTGAAATTGCTGCAAGAGCAGAATTGATTTCCAAGTCTGTCACAGCCACTGCAGATTTTCTAATTCTACATTATCTTTGCCAAACTCTGCTAGATATAGTCTGAGAAAAAAACAAACAAAAAAACCCTTTGATTGACTGTGTCGAAAAGTCTAGCAAAGCTTCTACTCTTTTGCATTTCATTCTGTATTTTGTATAAATAATTAATTAGCTAAAAGTAATGGGCTGTGGCAGCTTTAACGTTACTTCAAAACTGCAGTATTTACATCTGTGTGTGCAACAACGCAGCATCAGGAGCTTACCAGAGAGTTATCTTTGAAGAGAAGGTTCTCTGGCTTCAGGTCACGATGTGCAATATTTAGAGAGTGACAATGCTCCAACGCTTGGCTGATCTACAGGGAGGGAGACATAAAACTGAGACACCATCTATAGATTTTTTAAAAACAGCCTAGGGTTGAACTAGTGTGTGCCACTTAATCCAAACAGCAGGTAGTAATGACAAGGCGAGGCTGTGTGACATGTTACTGCAGCTTTACAGGAAAAGACAGATGATGTCACAAAACACAAGATAAAGGTGGGCCACAGTTAGGTCTGTTCACCTACCTGTTTGGTGACCTGACTGGCCATCTTTTCAGTAAAGTGCCTGTGCTGACTGATTCTGTGGAACAGCTCGCCACCCTCCATCATTTCCATAACAATCAGGAGCCTCGCTCTGTGAAGAACAATTGGAGGAAACCGTGAAAACAGGAGATGGAGATATGTTAAATTCTTTCTTTTATGACAAGAGATTCACGGAATCCTACAAAAACAGACTGAGCGCCTCACCTTGGGCTGGATTCATGGGGGAATTGAACACTGTTGGCATAAACTTCCAGGATTTGCACTATGTTTGGGTGGTTGGCACACATCATATGGAGACGCACCTGGAGAGAAAACAATCAAAGTGAATTTAGAGTAACTCTCTTAAATCGTTTAAATTCTCCATGTTTAAGCCAGGTGAAAGTCATTGCAACAGAGAATAGCATCATATCATCAGTGCAGTCACTCTGATGTGCAGTGTCGGCACTTCCCAGGCAAAAAGAGAAATTTAATGTGAGATCAGTGACATCTATTAGTATTCAAATGTTTAAACTACATCAAAGCTGACACAGAATTCATTTTATTACACGTTTCCACCGCTTTACTGGTTTTATTAAGCAGATGAGTCAACTAATGCACATTCGTTACCAATGAATGCCAAAAATTTACAAATTCTGCAAATGTAAATGCAAATTAAGCAGCTGCAAATACCAATACCTTCTTCTAAATAATTAGACCATCGGAAATTATACAGTGTCAGACTCAGAAAAAAGCAGATTGCAAAACAGACAAAGACAGTACGCCAACACCAAGTCTGTGTAGCTTGTTTTGACTGCACTGCTTAACTGCTGCATAAGCTGCTTGATCAAAACAGCGGGCTGCTAATGACACAGAGAGGCTGCTAAGACAAACTGTTCGCTGCAGGGAGACAGCGTTACAGACAAAGGCGCTCATACAAACAGGCTGAAGTACAAGAGAAGCAAGGAAGAAAAAAAAACAAAAACAGGAATTAATACAGACTGATAACAGGCAGGCAGAACAAAGCATACTGACACAGCCCCAGACAACAAACAGCAGGTATTAATCACAGCCATGACAGTGTTTCCTCTAACCTCATTTCTGGCCTTGGGGCGATCAATAAGGATCTTTAGAGCCAGGCGTTCCTGAGTTGACTTCTTCACACAAACTCTGCAAAAAAAGAAAACAAGTATCAACAAACACCTCACGCACCATGATAGATGTGTCAGATGTGTGCCTGTGCCAAGAATCAGGAATTAAGTATATCTAAACTCGCAGGACTTTTCTCATTTTCTGGTGTTTCTATTAACAATCAGTTGTTCTGCTTGTCACTCATCTGTATTACGTGATCTGTTCTCAACAATAAAAGACGGGCTATTGTAAGGAAAGATCTGAAGGGATGATCTGTTACAAAGCTTAGTGACAACATCTGAAAGGTGGAGTTGTTTTAGGTGCATCAAGAATTAAAACCTAATTCAGATTAAAACCTAAAAACTGTGCAAACTCTTTAACACGTTATTGACATAACTTTATAGCAAATTGGCTTAATTATTTACAGTTTCACCTGAAAACAATTTAAGCCTTGCAAGCTTTTCACGACATCCTGATAAACACACTAAATCATTAAAAGGCGTCTCCCTTATACTTGCAACCAGCTCCTCTACATGAGGTCACAGGTGAAATCATTAAACCGCTATGTCACATAAAACAAGCATTTTATAGCATTCCCATCTACCTATCTGATTAAGAAACAAGATTATCATCAAGTCCAGTCAGATTAAACTGCATTCCCCAAATCCACAACAAATAAAATGCCAGACAGTGTCCTGTCTTTACTTAAACAAAACAGCTGATATCAATGAGGGACAATGTGTAGGCTGACAATGTCTGGACACTTTTTTTTCTTTTAACTTGAGATGCCATTTCACCCTTAAAAAAGCTTTAAAGTAGATAAAAAACATAATTCAACAGTATCTACAGTTTCAGATATATATTTTGTCTGCAGACAGCTAATTATTTGCATGTTATTTAAAATAAATATTCTTCTGTTAATAGACTAATCACTTTAGGACTTATATTTATAATCTGTGGATATGTAAATACTTTATCTGTAAAGCTTGAATTTATATTAGCGTAGGCATTCTTATTTTATTTAAAAGACTTTAAAGTTGTAAAGGTAGTTTCTGTGTGCTAACGTGCTGTTTTAGACTATTACACTCCTACATACCGCCTGGATATGATCTGATGTTGAATTAAATAAGGCCAAACAGAAGCATAGAGAAGACATCAGCTGACTAGCTGGATTTACTTTATTTTGTCAATATCAAAGTTTGTTGTGGGAATGGTGAATCTGCTCGGCATCTTTGTATGTAGAGTAAACCAAAGGAAAAGTCATCTGTGGATGCATATTTTTCATCGTCACAAGGATAAAATGAAGTAAATAACTCCTGGAAATGGGTTTCCTCAATCCACATTTTGAACTGCACACTCATTAAATATGAAACGTGCAGATACATAATTCATTTTTGGAAGAATCTAATAACTCCCTTTCCCTCTCCTCTAATCTACAGGGGCTCAAATATTCACTTTAAACACTTACTTTGAATTCAGATTACACTATTAAAGTATTACTGGGAGAAACATTCAGCTCTGGCCAAAGTTCACTTCACTAGAAACCAATACCTTCCCAAATGAATGACAGAATTAGTCCGGTGGCGGGGGATACAGTAAAAGACATGAATGTGGTAGCAGACGGAGGCAGGGAAGAAGGAAGTAATAAGAGTTCCGAGCAAAAAAACGAATTAGAAATATAAAACATGAGGTGAGCAAAAGTTGGTCAAAAAATAGCATGAATCATACCAGCATGTTTACATGGTGGGCTGATGAGTCAATTTCACTGTTTTCTCATCACTCAAGGCCAAAAATATACACATTGGGTAATAACAGATTGCTCTCGCTTGAGCCAGACTAATGATAGCCTCAAAGTGCAGAATGAGCAGAAGAAGTCAGCGGCAGACACTGATATATTACCACTGGCATCTAACTAGAATCAGCAAGACGGACAGACCTGCACTAAAAAGACTGCGTATAGCATAAACAGACTTAAATCTGCTGGCAGAGCTGCTGCCTCTCTGTAAAGTTCAGCAGAAACAGAATGAATCTAAAAGTCATTCCTGTGAACAGATATCCCAGTGAAGCAGGGCAATGCAGCGTTTACTAATTTTTAATATTAAAAGGAGTCATTTATAACAGTGATTGCTACTTGTGCATATGCGGTATAAGCTTTTTCCTGTGATCAATTACTCCCCATTTTACGGTGTGAAGACAATTAGAGGAATATAGAAGGGAAATGGACGACTTAAGCAAACTGCTATGTTTTATAATTGATCCCTTGTGTATCCACAGCTAGACTAAACCCAACAAAGCCAAGGAATTGGAAATAAACTCACTTTCTTGAAGAGGATTACGATTTTAAGCTGTTAGTTTACACAACACATGGGTAGTAATGCTTTTAACAGTGAGTCTGTGAACTGAATCCCAGCGAGTCTGACCATTTGTTGTATTCTACTCGCTTCTCGCACTTCATGTTTCTTGTCCCTCTCAACTGTTCCCATCAATATGGGCGCAACAGGCTTGAAAAAACCTACCATGCCCACACGCTGCTGTGTTTTTTACAGCATGTCTACACATTTTTAAACTTTCATTCTGCAATGCCAAAAGAACCTGCACAAATGGGCACAAATGCTGAACTCCCAAACTCTGCTTAGGGCCACCGTCCTGTTAAAGGAACTTTCTTTTGGACTGGCTGCCCCTTGCTAACAGATTGTCTTCCAGAGCAGCTGTGTGGAGCTGCTGTGCTCACAGCCAGAGCTGCATGCCTGAAACGACCATATTATCACTGACGCCATAAAGAAGAAAGAGTAGAGACAAAAACATCTGAAACTGAACTGAGTAACTGAGGTTACTTGCACACATACTTACCTCATTATGGCACAATGCCAAGTGTTGGATGGAGCGGTGTAAAGCACACCACTACTGGACTCTGGACAAGTCTAGGTTTGGAGAATGCCAGGAGAACATTACTGACCTGACTGCACTATGCCAGGTGTTAAGTTTGGTGGAAGAAGAAGAATGCTATGGGACTATTTTTTTCTGGGGTCTACCTGGGCCTCTTAGTTCCATTTTTCGAGTTTTAATGTTTGACTCTGCTATGAAAGAACTTGTCTGCCCTGACACCTTTGGGATAAACTAGAAGCTACAGGCCAGCTAATGGACAGCTTGACTGACGCATGCTTGCATATCTCACTTAGACTGACTTCGCAGGGGAGATGGAGAGAGCTTAGCTTCCCTGCCAATGGAGCTGTCAGGTCGAGATGCCAGGGCAGCATAGCATCATCCTCATTCTCATTATTATCATCTCTGATGATATCCATGATAACATCCTCCTCCTTGTCTTCTCCATGCTTCTCTTAGGAGTTGAAGAACTCCAGGTTCTCATGGGGGGCTAGAGACTGTTACAAAAAGGGTCAGGAAACCCCATGTCCTTGAAGTCATTGATCTGACGTTGTGGTAGTGGAGCCTGAATGGTCATTCAGAGGTCATTTCCCATAGTGAGCTACCTCACTTGGTTTTCAGAGAACTGGGGTTACGCCAGTAACCAAAGGATTCTTCAGTGTCTGATCTGATAAATGCTCTTTTAAATGAGTGGGGTGAAAAAATTCCCACAGACACATCCCAAAATCTTGCAGGAATCCTTTCCAAAATTGTGGAAGCTATTATAGCCACAAATTGGGACCAACTTCATATTAATGCCTCATATTAATAGAATATGATGTCAGAAAATCGCCTTTAGGTGTAATGTTTAGGTAGCCTAATACTTTTTCTCATATGGTGTACATGAACATAACAAAATGAAAACATAATGAGTCCAGTTTAACTGACTTCCACTGAGGTTTTGAGGGATACGTGCATTGGGTGGGATTCAAGTCCACCATGCTGCATTTACATAGACTGTGCTTGTGCCAACTGAGCCACCTCCAAAAACAACAGAAATCGTGCCTGTGCCAAACATTTTAAGCTCCCAGCTGCAATGCTCTTACACACGGGTAGCAGGTCCAGTCAGTTATAGCAAGTGACAAGCACCTGGTCCTTTCATAATTTTTAATGTGTTAACGTGCCAAGGATAAGGTCAGGCTGTGCAACAGCAAATTTAATGCAAGAGAACCGCTGGAAATGCATACAGACGAGTTTGTCTAGTCAATCGCTCAGCTAACAAATAAATCTAAATCAGCTCTGACATCGACTCTGCGGTGTATTCAGAGACTCAGATGTATACATAGATTTAATCATACACTGCATGGGGACACAACAATCTGTCACCCTCTTCAATCAAATCACTTTACTTAAAAATACTCTGAATCACAATAATCTATTTTCAGGTATAAACAAAACTACACTGTAACCTCAGTTAACACTGACTGCGTTCTCACAGTTGTGTTTAACCCAGGAGTGTTAAGAGTTCTCCCTGTGGGATTCTGCAGCACTAATAAATGACAATAACTCATTTCCATAGACGTCAGAAGCACAGTTAAAAAGGTGATTTCTCAATCACAAACAGATATCATGATAATGTTTCCTGGTTGTGTAATACTCCTCACACTGGCCATAGTTCAAGAAAAATAATCCCGTTCCACATTTTGGCACCAACAGACTGCAGCAGAAAAGATACAATTTCAAGAATAAAGAAAAGTCTTTTTAAAAAGACTTACCTGACAGGGCCACTGATGCCAGCTCCCAGTTTCTGTGTCCAGTTTATGTTGTACTCGTCCAAAATAGATGTCTCCTGTTAAAAAGACAAAATAATACCATATAGTATATCGGAACATTGAAGAAAAGGTAGAGCACCGTGGTAGACAGGAATGTTAAAAAAAGACCTAGGCTTAAGTTTAAGAATCATCTGTGCCTTTCACAACAGTCAGCACGGGGTATGTCATGCTTTATGATCATTAGCTCACGAGAAAGAAAATACTGTATATAAAAAAAACAAAACCAAAAAACTCCCCCAAACATTTGATCAATGCCAATACACAGGTAGTGATTATACCAGTACACAGAATATGATGTTTATTATAATACATACTGTATGTTATATTCATAAACTATATACAAAAGACTACTGCAGATACTAGTTACATTATACTAAAGAAAGAAACACATTAACCCTACTGTGTTAACACTGGGTGGTGTAATAGCTATACATCTATGGGTTCTAGTTTCACAATACTACCATTCCTTGACAGAAAAAAGATTTAGAAAAAAGACAGCTTGGCTGCTATAACACAAATGCACCTGTAAAATCATGCTGCTACTACTGGTGTCCAAATAAATTATTTAAGGACAAGTTCACCCAGACAAGTTCAGTAATCAACTAAAAAAATCAAAATAAAACAAATCAACTTCTCTTTGACAAACCCCCAAACTTGAGCCCAGACATTTTTGGCATTAGTCCCTTTTCCGTATAACATAATTTACTGGGACATGTGAACATTAGCTGATTAAAATATAACTGTTGCAACACTTGACAATGTTTTACTACAGCTTGACAACCAGGACAGTGCGATTTTGTGTCAAGACACTATTAAAGTAATCCAAAAAAAGATATCCTCTTATTTGGTCAAGGTGGAGTATTCGGCCGAAATCTCCCATAGCTGTTTAACTGGGACTAGACTTGCTGATTGTGAAAGCCATAGCATATAATTCACATGATGTTCACACTCATCAAACCCTATGTTTGATGAATGTGAGGTTTAGTGAATCACTGGTGACTCACTGAACCAAAAGACAGAAGCACTGTCATTCTGGAAAAACACCCCTCCATTTAGTTTCACTAAGAGATAAACACAGTCAACAGAACAACTCTATTGATTTGCAGTGACTTTTCATTCTAAGGGGACCCAAATGTTGTCAGCAAACCCCCACAACCTAACAAAGTCAACAGATCTCATCACTTTAAGAGGGAGTCCAGGGTTCTTTAATCACAAAACTTGAAGGACGAGTGATCAAAAACTACGCAGATTTGTAATGCTTTAATACTTTTTTTTTCTGGAGCAAGGAAACATGCAAGATTATTTCCCAGCAATTGGTTTTTAATGCGCCAGGAAATTGATAAAACAGAGTCAGGGTTAAGCCGAAACCTACTCAGCGAACGTGTGCTCCAGTTCTAGAGTACCTCTTGCCCAACCATGAAAGCAGGGGCCAGGGCAACTCCAGATCACATTTTACTGTTGACATAGATGCCAGGGCAATGACACACTGAGGGGAGCCAGCCAGGAACAAACCCCAGATCCAGTTTGCAGGGAAATAAGGCTGGTTAATGATCATGACCATTGTTAAATGGGTCTAAACTGCAAAGAAATTAATATTATGTTTTTTAAAACATGTTCAACATTTCTGCCATGCAAATCAGACATAAAACTCATCTGCTGTCAATAAATATGAGTTTATGACTGTCTCATGAAACAAGATAAAACTGCGCTCTTCATGTAGCATGCATTGAGCAACAGCTTTAAAAAGATAACAATATTTCCATCACCTGAGTGGACCAGTAACCAAGCAGAAGAAGTGTCATTTAGGTTACCTTGATGAATTTGTCTGCGTTGTTATCCTCCGACATGGTTTTGTGCTCCGGACAGATGAAGTCTGCCTCCCCAAACTGAGACTGAACACAGTGGAAACGAAGGTTCACGTTTGTGTCTTGTCTGACCTTTTTAAAGTACCCCGGGCTGCACCAAGGCTTTCTATACTACTAGTTATAACAGGAAAAGGCCATCGGGGCAAAATGATACTCGGCTACAGAGCAACCAAAGCCGAGTGCCGTTCCTTTGGAAAACTGAAGCCCAGCAGCTGGTACGATTTAACGTTAGATCAGACCAGCTCGGCTCACAACCTCGGGGCCCGACTCGCTCTTCCAGTCGTCTCAAATTCACTGTAGTGACCATGTAGAGTGGCAAACTGCGAGCAAGGTGACCAGAAAAGAGAAGTCCAACAGGGACAAGTCCAGCACTTTTGGAGGCGCAGCGAGCAGGGGGGCCTTACAGTGGTATTTTTAGCCAGCGCAGTGAGAGCAGTGCTCTGCTAACGCTGCGGAGACACTGAAGACTGGCCAAGCTGCTGCTACATTTCACGGTGAAAGCAGTCGATTACATAACAAAGACAACAGTGAACGATACGGCGGAACGAAGATACTCTCTGAAAATTAGTGATAGTACACTGGGTGACACCTGGGTTGATCTGACAAGAAGAGCACACCGCGTTCTCAGCAGCAGGACAATCTATTATGTCGTCGAGCCTTCTAACACGCTAGGTAACGAGCTAACCGAGTCGCGTCCGTTTTCCTGCTCCAGTCAAAGCCAGTGATGTTAAAATTCTCAGCAGACCGTGATAACTATCAGAACTCGTATGGAACAGCAACAACACATAGCAGATGACAGGAATTATCGGAGACTGCATTCAGCGGTGGCCAAAAGATATCCGCATCTCTGGACTGTTTTGCTAATCCCATAGGGGTCTTGCCAGAGGAATACACACAACGCCTGTCCGAACAGAACGCCTGATCAAAATTATTGACAACATTAATAAATTCGGACAATATGTGAGGCTACACGTTTTAATCTATCACACACCACGTAATTTTCGGCGTATAATAAATGTATTTGTTTTTTGTATTTTTGAAACAACAAATTATTTTTTACAATCAAATACGTTTGAACTGGATACACTGTAATGGGTCCTTATAAGGACCTAGTTTTCAATGCGGACTCAAGTCCCATAAGCAGCATTGTAAACTACCAATTACTTAACAGTGGAAGAAGTTGAACTACAGTAGAACTACCCCTGGCGGAAATATAGTTAAGCTCAACTTAAAAATCTACACATTATAGGAAATTTTATTATATTTAAAAAGTTAAATGCCAGAAAAAAACAAGCAAACAAAAAATCAACCATCACACTTTAATTAATATCAGAATGTGCTAAAATTAATTAATTAAGATCATTTGTCATCCTTCCAAAAAAAAAAACCTATCCCCCCAGGTGGCAGTATTCCATCAGGTAACCCCTAAAAATAAGACTTCCACGACTTCTTTAAAAATGTTTCTTATACAGAGATATTACCTGCACACCCAATGAGCTTTAGCTAAATCCAAGTGTGAAAAAAAAATCTCATTCGCTTTCAAATTTTTATTTATTTAATTAGATTTGATGTACTTTAACATAATATAGACTTTATCAAATAATCGGAAATACCAAGAAAAATAGATACTGTCAAATGAGATAATAGACTCTTCTGTTCATGGCATGGGTACTCACCCACCAACAACTCATTTTGGGGCAGGATAATACAATTCACTAAACAATTGTAATAAATAACAATAAATGTAATAATAAATTATTTGGGGGAGGGAGCATTTGGTATGATTGTCTTTATTCTTTAACACAGCCTGACACAAACTTTACACAAACTTTATTGTAATTTCTTTAAGTATTTTTCAAGAATAGTTCTTCAGGCTTCTTGAAACACAGTCAAAGCTCTTCTTTGGATGTTGGCTGCCTTTTGTTCTGTTCTTTTTCAACATGATCCCTCACTGCTTCAATAATATTGACACCTGAGGATCCATCAATGCTTTTACTGCATTGGAAATGTGTTTGGGATCACTGTCATGCTAATGGTACTTTTCTGGATTCATAATTCCATGAATTTCCATAAGATCCCAAACATCACTGGAATGCTGAAATGCAGTCTCAAACCATAACAGAGCCTCCAGCGTGTTTTACAGATGGTTGTAGATCCTCACTGTTGTACCTTTCTCCTGACCTCCTCTGTACATATTCGTGACAATTTGAACCAAAAATGTCAAATTTAGACTAATCATTCCATCAGACCTGTTGCCACTTAGCTTACATCTAGTTCTTGATACATCAGTCTTTTCTCCCTGTTTCTCTTCTTGACAGGCATCCTTTAACTGAGACCAATTCTGGTGAGGGCTCAGCAGACCAAATGCATCTCTGAAGGACCAGATAAATCTCAGGTGTTCTGTGTCAGATCTTTGCTGCATTCCCCCCATATTTCTCAAGGACATGGTTTTCAGATACTGTTCATCAGCTGCAAACAGTTCTTTAAGCCCGTTGCTTTTTCTGTTGTCCTTCCCCTGTCCAGTTTTCTCAATATGCACACCATACTGAGATTTGCCACATTTCCAGCTTATCTGTCTTTGGTAATCACCTTCTTTGGCATTTTTTGTAGATTCAACAAAATAAATGGGGACAAATTATGCATTTTTGTGAAAGGCTGCTAATAACAAAGTCCCCAAAGGTATAATTTAAAATTGGTTCTTTGCTAAGATGGCTGTTATGTGTCGACACATCACATTATATATATAATTTACTACAACGCTATATGTCAGTAATAGTGTCAGAAAACCCAGCTAATTATGTTTTCTTCTCACCACAGAATGTCAAACAGTGAAATCTGTGCTGCTCAAGCACGTAAATAGGTGGAAATTTCTTGCTGCACCACCTATACTACTATACAGTCCTTTAGTTAGTGCTCAAGTTATGCGCAAGAGAAGAAGGAATTTTATTTTATGACCACCCAAGGTGAAAATAAAACTTGATAAGTGGAGTTATCACCATCACATGCATTTGATGGTGTTAGGCACTTATGGGCTTTTATTTAGTGTGCACAAGTTATCTTGTAAGATTATAACTTGTCCAGTCAAGATAAGAAACATCATACCAGAGAATCCATCCCAGAGCAAGTAGTAACAGCATCAGAGTATTGCGCAGCACTGAATCATTCTATTTACAATTCACCAAATGTGTTTGTCTGTGGATTCTTTGCTGTGTTGGGTAGATGAAGAAAAATATATGGAACAAAGTAATCACAGCAAGGCTTTGGGGTGGGGTTTTTATTTATTTACTTGTTTTAACTAAACCATCAGTTGGGGGCACATTGTGGAGGACAAAATGGGAAAGACTAAAGTGTTATGACAAGATTAAGGAAAGGTCATACTGGTCATTGCAATTCTCCCTTTATGGTTGAAAAGCATAAAGCATTTTCTCCCTCTCTCACTTTTTTCTTTTTTTGAGAATGGTTAGATTGCAGACCTTTGGGCCACAGTCCAGCTCAGATTGTAGTAATGCAGCTGAAAGATGTTTGCCAACCATAATAAATCCAAAAGAGGAAGACAACAGAAAAATAGCACTAAATAGCACTTGATAGGCATACACTTTGTCCAGGATAACATCTTCAATAATAGCTTCAATATTAATACCATTTTAATAATTTACATGACATAAATATTCATGAATCTCATTTAATCCACAGGCTACAACATTAAAGTGGCAAATGTATCCATCAATACCTACTTAAAGGACTATGTTTATCTCTTATTGTTGGTCTTTACATATGTTTCAGTTCCATATAAATTATGAAGTGATATCTTTTGATTATTATAGAACAGAAAGTCCTGATATTTCTTCATGCAGTGACTCATTATGTTAGACCAACAGGTCAAACCTTTGAACTTTTCTCAATAATATATTTCATATTTGACCGTGGAAATTTTAAATGGAAAAAAAGGACAATGACAATTAATATTATTTATTTTAAAAAATATTGGAAATAAACTTCAGACACAACATGGACATGTTGTGAAGCTCTTTTCCCCCCAATGTTATTTATAATATTATAACATTATATTCATTTTTCATTTTTATCAGAAATTAGTCTCTCTTTCAATTAAAAAAGAAAGACAGATGGAAAAAACCCAGGAAGATCAAAAGCAACATTCAAAAATTTGAAGAAAATTAAGAAATGCTGAATTATGACTATCAAAATAAGTGCACTATGACCCTAAATTGAATAAGGAAGAAAACAGATACTCGAATGAAAATCCCTTGCAATGACTGCCTGAAGTTTAAAACCCATGGACATCACCAAATCCTGTTTCTACACTTAAGTTGTTCATTTAGGTTTTTACTGCAGCCACCTCCAGTTGCTCCTAGTTTGTGTCGCTCTGCCCTTGAGTAAGTGAAAAGCATACTCTGTTAGATTGAAATCAGGTGACCAACTTGGCCACTGAAGAATATCACATTTATTGCTGTGAGAAACTTTTAGGTTGCCTTTGCAGTAGGCTTTGGGTCATTATCCATTTACATTCCAGTCAGTCTTGCACTATTTGTCTGACTCAGTTCCACTGACAGCCCATGCCTGCCCATGCAACAACATTGTCTCTACCATATTTGACATTGTGGGAAAATGAAATAAAATAAAATTTTAAAGGTATAGAAATGGGCAAGAAAACACAATTTTCAGGATCATGTGCAGCCCTGGTTCCTATTGCAGATTTGTTTTGTATAAAGTGATGCTGCACAAGAATTTAAGCACAATCACGCACTGTATAAATGTTTTGCAAAGTGGGAAAAAGTATTTAGACTTGTTACATAAGATCTTAGGGGGATTGGTGCCACCCAATGCCCCTCTTCTAGACACACCCCTTATCCCTACTAGTTAGTTTTCTAGGTCCATTTATTTATTTTACTTTGTTTTTTATTTGATGAAACTTTTTTTTTTATCCTTACTTTGTTTTAGTTTAGTTTACTAGACTGAAATCCTCTTTGTACAGCTGTCTTGTCATATCAAGATTGTGGAAGTTACACCAGTTATTAACGAAAAATGGGACTATCTCAAAGTGACCCTCCAATCCTGCTAATTGGAAACCTTCATGCTGCAGTGGATACTAGCCATCACTATGCCCACACCCGCCGTGTGTGTGTGTGTATGTTAGTAGTGAGTTCGCCGGCTCACGTGGATGACACTACATAGTAATTGCAAATTCATGGACTTCCTGAAAATAGTGCCATGATATAACTGTGTCTCTTTTAACACAAATGTCTGCATTGGGTTTTTACGTTAAAGATGGTCATGTTCATCTGTTTACAAGATTAATAGTTTTCAAATAACACAGCGTATAAAAATATAGAGTGAAGTGTTTGCGAGCCGTCACGCCTCTCATATCCCTCCGCTGTTTTTGTCCCCCTTTCAGGCTGTTTTGGTCTTTTCGCTGTTAGCAACGGAAAGAATCCGAGATAGCTGCAAACCCGATTTTGAGATAATAATTATATAACAAATTGACAAGAGGTGTAACACACATGTTCATTTCGGAAAAGTTACTAGAGCGTGTTGTCTTTTTTTAAATATTATTTTTTCAGTTTTAATAGGAATTGTACAGGTCGCTAATTTAGCTAGCAACTGTTAGCCAGGCTAGCTGCTTAGCAAAGCATCCTCCTGAACAGGCACGTTGACTTTAGCCTGCTGGCTAAGCTAGGTCTTCGGATTGCCCAACGTTAGTGAGGTACCGCACACCGTCTCAGCGTCAAGAAATTGCGGCGTGAAACTGGTCTGTTAAAGACGCTGTCTTTTATGGGATCACCATGTCAATGAAGGCCGGTGGAAATCGCAGCAAGCCCGGCGGTGGTAGCACCGCTGGTGCCGCCGCCGCCTCCGGTGCCGGAGGAAGCGGCGGGGGAAGACAGAATCTGGGCAGGTATGTGAAATTAAAACGTTAACATAGCGAAGCAAAAACACAGCAAGGAGGGTTGGTGTGACACGTTTTCGATATTTGGCCATAGTCACTGCCAAACGGTAGCGGTTGTAAGAGATGACATTGCCGTTAAGTGGTCCAAAACTAGTGCGTGTTTGTGAACGTTGTGCGGGCCTTGCGACGTGTTGGTCAGCCAGTTGTGCAGTTCAGCTAGCGAGGCCTGCCTGTCTGCTTGGTCCAGTGCTGTTGCAACTTTCGACGTGACATTATCTTCTCTGGCACGTTAAATCAAACATGCCACCACGAGGTTGATTTTGCATAAATACATGTTCGGGTGGACATTTATCTTTCCTCACATGTGTGTAGTACTAGTGACGCTGCTTGCCAAGTTGCTGGTATCAGTTTACTCTAAGCTTGAAGCCAAGTCAGCTAGCGTTAATTAGCCAATTGACAGCCTATGCTTGCATTTCAGTTTTGTAACCGTTGGCTAATGGGGGACACGCAACGGCATTTGTTGTCTTTTGGCTGCCATGTAGCTTGGTACGTTACCGCAACATTGCTGCAACGGGGTTGCCAGGAAATGGATATAAAGCGTGTGGGCGCTCAGAAGAAAGGGGCGGGTGTGGAAACGGGGGTGAGGTGGAGGAGGAGAAGGGGGAATTACAGACCGACTGGCTTTCAACCTTGACGTTGCCATTGCTGTTCGTGAGAAATAGTGTCCTTGAGGCATGACTTTCTCTGTACACGTCGTCCCAAGATGAAGATAAAGCACACTGTCAGTGCATGAACAGCATGCATGTTGTGATTTTTGGTGGTCAGGCTGCTGTTCACCGGTCACTAGGACAGCACTCCCCATTCATTGCGTAGGATTCATCGTGAAGATGCTATAAATGAATATTGGACCAGTTTATAACCATGCTCACAAAACCTGCACATTACAGCTCAAAATGGCATGGCTAAGTGTGTTTTAGAAAGCTTAGGGCTGATTTACTGCAACGGATATAATATAGGGGTTAGTGGCCATTGCTTACGTTGAATGGTTGGTTATGTGCCAGCTGCTGAACAAGGTGCATTTTAGGACATGCCTGGGAAAACTGTTAGCTGCTGAGTGTTTGGCTAGATTGCATCACAAATATCATTATTATAAGCATAATGTGGTGGAGACACTGGGGAAATTTCAGAATTTACATTGCACATTGGAAATGTGATCTGCAAGAGCACTTCTGTCGATCTTAAATATGAAGTCAATGTCCACAATTAAAACAAATGATCAAGTAAGATGGCCGTGTTGATGGTTGTGGTGATGTCTCCACAGCTGGAATCGATAGTGATGGTAATAAATCGTATACTTGATAAAACCAAAGTGATTTCATTATCATGTCTGCAGCTGCAAACATTTCACACGTGCTCTTCAGTCATAATCTCAGTAAAGCATCATTATAAGACCCTCATGTATTCTTAAACCTGGTTCTCTGTATTTTGCTACAAGTGATTGTAGTATGCAGATACTTGCAGTATGCTGTGAAAGTATATTTTAGAAATGAGGTTAAGGTTAAAGCAAATTATATAGCTTGTATTGATTAACTTCAAGTGCAGTTCTGTATCATCTTAATCATTGCCTCTTATGATTTCTCTTAGTGAGTTGCACATATCAGAGCATGTGCTAAGTCAAGTCTTTATTTATTTTATTTTTTATAGTTGATGGTGAGTTTGACAACAATTTAATCAAAATGCGATTTTTTTTCTGTCCCTCAGGGGGAGACACAGTGGCAAAGGTCCAGCAGCAGTAAGTAACCTGTTATTTCTCATATACATTTGAGAAACAAAAATACCTTCAAGTTTGAGTATTTTAAAACACTTAAAAAAAAAATAAAAAAAAAATACAGATTTTTGAACATTGTGATGGTGTTTTTTCCTCTTGAGGCATGTCATTGGTGGGCACCAGACTTTTTCTTATGCAGGAAAAACCCTCACAATGCTTTAACACTTCTTTTTCTTGGTTTCCTGTTTTTTAAAGCATTTTAATGCCAGAGAAAGCATAAATCCAGATATCGCCTTTTTAATTCCATTAAGAACAAGTGTATTGGTATTCCACAGTGATGAGACATTATTTGGCATCTTTTTTGTGCTCAAAATGGGAGCATCAAAATTAATTGTATCTTTTCTTTAGGTCATTTTCAATGGTGTATATGCAAATATGAGGATGGTCCATGTCTTGACTTCAGTGGTGGTACGTTTACTGTGTGCCTACCTTGTTCCTTTTTTTTTCTGTGTATAATGATTATAAGAATATGCATAGTTGCAAAATTCCTTGGATGAAGCAGCCATGTGAATCATGCTTACTCTAAGTGAGTTAGTAAGAACATTATTTACTGCAGTCTGTTTTACCACATGCTGTTTCTTCAAATTGTTTACACAGCACTAAACAAAGCCTGTTGTAGAGACAGCTGGTTGCATAAAAGGAAACCAGTGATTGATCAATCAATGGTTTGCCTTGCAGAAAAATGGGTTTTTGAACTTATATTTTTGAACATGTAAATTAAAATTTGTACTAAACGGCACATACTGTATATAACGACAAGCCTCTTTAATTGTAGGGGACCAAGTGTGAGCTTAAAGTGAAAAATGGAGCCATCTATGAGGGAGTATTTAAGACCTATGGCCCAGAGGTAAGGCTCATGCATAATGTGGTATTCTTTATTGTTTATTATTGAGAAATCTGTTATTTTCTCACTAGTTGAATATGATTAGGCTTAAATGTGATGGAGTCTTGCTAACACTTGGTACTAGTTTCACCCCTAAGATGGTTTAGACCTGCATTGCTTTTTCTGATATGTGAGCATTTACCTTCCCTTTTAGGTTGAATTATTTCCCAAAAGTAATAATCATAAGTAAATTTGAGGTTTTCCTCTAATTCAGATCTATGCTAGTATGCTGATGCCAGGATTACACCAGGTAGTTTAATTGATAAGATCTACTTTTATGTGATTTATTTGACTAATAGTTAAAGTAAGCCTGCTACAATTTTCCAGATCTTTAATTCATAACCATACACCACAAATCTTTCTTGTGATGCTTAAAACAGATCTCTTGAGATTTCTCAGTATGTTTTAGTTTTAGGGTTTTTCTTGAGATTGTTTATAGCTGTTTTGTTTCTCTAGCTACTGTGGAGTATGATGGGCATGAAAGAGTGCATTGTCCCAGTCTCCTGTGTCCATAGTTTCTTGTGTCTTTTGCAGATACTTCTTTTTCCCTCTTTGTTTCAAATTATATTTTTCTCCCTCAGTGTGACCTGGTGTTGGATGCAGCCCACCGAAAGAGTACAGAACCGAGCACAGGGCCCAGGAAAGAAGATATTGTAGAGAGCATCATTTTCAAGGCTTCTGATGTCGTAGTTGTGAACTTCAAAGATGTGGACCTAAATTTCGCCAGGAAAGGTAGTGTGGTCATATTTTTATTTTTTGGCAAAGATTCTTTTAGTTATTGAAACTGGAGATGTTATCATGCGCATGTTGAAAACTAGGGGTGCAATGATACTCGTATCGATATTGAACCGTTCGATACAGTGCTTTCGGTTCGGTACGCATATGTATCGAACAATACAAAATTTTTAATTTATTTTATCAACTTTTCTTCTGACGATGCTGTCTGTGTTGAGAGCTCAATGGATCTGCGTTCGACTACTCCGCCTAGGCTGCACTGTCAAGCGCAGATCCACTGAGCGCAGCACAAGCTAGCAAGACAGAAGCTAAGCTCGTTGCAACATGGCAAATTGAACCTCCCCCACCCTCATTCAGATATGGCCTTTGGAACTATTTTGGTCTTCATGTGACGTATGACCCTGAAGGTAAGCGCGTCATGGACAAAAGTAAAACAGTATGTCGGATGTGCCATGCAATGCTCAATTACATGGGTGGGAACTACTGCGTTAGTGCAGTTTGCTCGTTAACGTGTTGACGCCGTCCAGCCCCACGCACGTGGCGATCCGCGGTAGCTTGTTAACAGAGATTTGCCGTGTTGTGGCGTTAACGTCATTTCAGATTAACGCTGATATGTTTAATATGCTGCTGAGAATATAGCCCAGAAGAAGCGTATAGTATAGCTTTTATTTTGGAAAGAGACATTTCTCTGTAATAAACTCTCTTTTCCAAAGATGAGTGATTTCTCCATCAGATAGATTTATTTTTTTTATTACTTTGTTGTTTCAGCAACATTAAATTTAAAAACTGTACTTTTGAGTTAAAATATATATTTATAATTTTAATAAATGACTAATTAAAAAGGCAAGAACATTTTTTTTGTATCGAAAAAATATCGAACCGTAACACCAAAGTATCGAACCGAACCGTGAATTTTGTGTATCGTTGCACCCCTATTGAAAACCTATGGACAATGCACAATGTTAACTGGGTGAGTTTGTCACACTGTTCATTTACACATACGAAAATATAAACGTATTTCAGTGAATTCCCATCTTTGCATACATACAATGTATTACCCTTCTCAGTCTTCTCTATCTTGATGTTGCAGAGGCTTTTCTGTGAGTTAAGTCTTGTGTGTCTGCTCAGAGTGGCCAGTCATTGAAGTCTAATTTGATCTATCGATTGGTCCAAAGGTTGCTCTAGTGCAACAAGGACACTCAATAAAGGCTGAAGGAGCCTGCTTCATGTAATTCATGTGCACCCATATGATTCTGCTTTGGACGATAATGGACTCTGCGGGAGAGTTTTGTTGTCTGAAAATATACAGGTGTGAAGGTGTGAGGGGTTTTGCTTCATGATTTGAAACTATGGCACTACAATGATGCCACTTCACTTTAACAACTTGTGAAGTGAGTGAAGTTTACACAGAAAGATAAAACGTCAAAAGTGCCAATGTTTGTCTGCTTGCCCCTTTATTTTATTTTTTTTAAAGAAATGCTCAATAAGTGATCAGTTGAAATCATGGGATGTGAGGAGTGTGCTAGACATGGCTTGACCCAAGCTCAAATTGTTAGAATTGAGTACCTTTACAACTTATATCTAGGTGAATCATTTCATAAATATGTCTGGTATGAATTTAACTGTTGGTGTGATCGCCAGTCATTTTATCTGTCAGTCATTCTTCTGACTATCTGTCATCTGTGTGTCTCTCCTTTCCAATGGTCTAGTCTCCTCAGACACAGGTAATCTATGGCTGTTTTCTCCTTTTGCACATCTTTGTATGCTCTTAAAAATATGTACTGTGCTCTTATATTAGACCTGTTAAATTAGATATTAAATGAAAAATGTAACTTTTATGAACATTTGGGCATGATGTTCTATTTATTTTTGTGCTATGTATTGTTACTGCATTTTGATTCCAGTATGATTCTCAAAGTTTTAGGATCACTGCTCTCATACACCCAAAAACTAAAAATTAGATATGTATTGCTGATCAGTGTTGCTTTATATTTTTACCGCGTCTTCAGACTGCATGTTGCTTTCGGTGGAAGAATCATTCCCTCAAAATCATTCAAGCTGATTTTTGGAGTTTTTAAATATTATCCAGTTTTAACTTTTGATACAGCCTATGTGATACATTTGGGTAATTTTTTAATACTAATATAAACTCTATTTTTGTTAATAAGGTTACAAAGTGCTTTATATAAAAAAAAAAAAAATCACAGAAATTGTAAAAACTAGAGAAAATAGGATGGGGGAAATAAACAACAAGCAGTAGCAACGATGAAGTAGTGACTTGTATAAGAAGAAGGTAACGTTTATTGCTTTTGTTTAGTTTATCTTTTATAGGATTTTTCCTAAACATCAGGGGGGGGTTTTTTTGGTTTTTTTTTTTTTTTAAACCTTTCTTGGCCTTGCTCGGGTCATGCCACACTTAAATGGTAGATTATCAGCAACATTAATGTGATTCCATTGAAAGCAACTGATTCAAAAGTCATATTGGGCTCTCTTACATCATTTGTTTTCTGAGCATTGTTTTTAAAAAGTTATTAGGAGAAGTTTAATTTTGTTTGGCACTGAAATGCTTTGAGGTCATGTAATTAACTGCAGTCTAAATGCATGTTTGCTTACCTCTCACTATTCTCACATTTGATTTTAAAATTTTTCTTACTTTGTATAATTCCTTTGGTGGACAGTGTGCACAAAGCATGCCAGCAAACACTGGAAATATAAACCAGGCCTATTGGCCCAACTGCTCGTATGGTGTCAGTCTAATGTTTCTGAACTTGCTCTGTGCCTAAAACGCTTAAATGCCTTTTGTATTGTGAGATGAGTTATGATGTGTGAGATAAGCAACTCCAGGCGGCTGGTATGCTTTGAGCACATAGTTCACTGGTGCCAGATCTGCAAATGTGAGAGCAGACTTGGGCTAACATGAGATTAGAATTTCAATTCAGTTATAATTGGGGGTTTTCTTTGAGCAGATCTGTCCGTTTATGACTTTGTTGAGTCAATGTATTCCATACATTTACATAAAAATAATGAACATCCTGAAACCGCAATTAGCCCAAAGTAAATTGTTTAATTAATGTGCTCCCTTTCAAGATGTTGCTATGGTGATTCTTAATAAATAGGGTGCAAGTCAAGCATTGTAGACACTCCTCGTAGCTGGATTTAATTTCTGATAAAAGTTGGCCATCTGAAAATACTGTAGCACCTAGAGACATTATGCTACATACTGTGACA